ATCACCCAGTTCCTTGATAGAATTGACCGGTTCCCTGAGGGAATTGGACAATCCTAGGAGAGCAAGTTCAATTATTGGTTCCTATCGAGAATTGAGTCAGTCCCACGAACCGGCTATTGAAATGGTAGTGGGTCTAGTTCAGACAAAACTGTTTGACCACCAATTGAACCAGCCTGTTTGGATTTTAAAAATATTAATAAAAAATATGAATAATGGTTTAAAATATGTAATATATTAGAAAATAGTTGTCCACTTTGTTTAGCTTGTTGAACTGGTTGAATTTGGCATGTCCAACTGATCAAAATTGATAAAACATTGGTTTTGTTACTAAACTTAATTTTTACTCTCAAACAAAATGGTCAAAGCACCAACAAGTAGTCCAATCAGTCGGATTGTAGTTTAGTCTGGTCTTGATAACCATGGCTTAGATCAATGATAACTAGGGGATTTGATATCACTACTTAGTGGCCCGAGTTAAATAATATCAATGTTTTTTTTTATTTAGGATTAGGCACCACTGCAATATTTTTTAGTAAGACAATATTCCCTATTTCTAATACTAAATAATTGGCAATAGATTTCTCATTTGGCTTGAACCACTTGAGTTGTGACAAAGCCACCCCTCCTTGTTTAGGTTTAGGAACCCACAGCAAAATAAGATGTGTTTGCTAACTAGCCCTAATAGAACTAAATTTGATGCCAGCAATCATTTTTTTTCCCTCTTTCTTTTAAAAAACCGACCACCTTTATTCAAGGTTAGAAACTCATAACCAAACTTTTCAGTTGAAAAAGCGTTTTCTTTATTTGTGACCTTGAACAAGAAGGGGTAGATTCATCATCTTGCTTTGCCACATGCCCTAGGCCAGATGACGAAACAACCCCTCATTCAGGGCTAATAACTTGGGCTCTTTAAGTTGGATTATATTACTGAAATGCTCCGCTTGTTATGGAGTTCCAAACTCATACTAAGGGCATAATTAAAAAATTTGAGAAGGCACTGGAGTGAAAATAATTATGGGAGGAAAAAAAATCAAACAGTTTCTATAGGGTCTAGGTTCTACCATTAAAAGTAAAAGGGTACCTCAAAATCCATCCAAAAATGTAATTTTGGTGCTTAAAAACCCTCAAATTAATCATCTTGACTTTGACAATTATAGATCTACAAAAAAGTTATAAATGATGTATCTTGTAAAGTTGTAATATAATATCCGGACCATTCATTTTCAAGTGTCTTTAAATCCGCCCAACTTATCTCATTTTTAGAGCTTCAAATTTTATAAGTAAAATAAATGATCAAACTGTTATAAGAGTTCTTGACGGCAAAAGTACATTATCTATGTTTAGTTTTTAGCATATATAGCCGACGACCGCCTTTATAAATGAACCATAATGCTCGAAATAAATAAATAAACCCACTGCCTAGGTAACTGGGTTATTTAACGTTCACTTACTGTGCTAAATATTTTCACACATTTTCCTTTGCACTTGGTTTGGTCAAATAACTTTAGATAATATGTCATTGACAAAAGGTGCGGCTTATATCACGCACCCACCTTAAAACATATAAAAGAAAGGGAAAATTGCAAATACTTCCCAATTTGATCTTTTTTAACAACCTTCCCTCAACCAACTTTTATATAACAACTTTTATCCCAAATCAAGTAAAAAACTCATAGTTATTGGGGCCAAAATTCATTTGTCGGTACAAGCTCGTGCGCACAATGACCAAAGGTTAATTGTTGGACCGTGGTATAAAATTGCTGGACCAGTATAATAAAATCACTGTTGGATCCCAATGCCCAGTTGTTAAACTATGCGAACAATATATCGGACTGCAGTAAACAACAGTCGGACTGAAGTAAAACAGTGTTGGACTGATGTCACCTTGTGCTAGACCGAGCTAAAATAACTACTGGACTGTGTTGCATATTTATCGAACCGAGGGCACCTTGTGCTTGATCACGTGCACACTATGCCGACAGAGAGTACACCTCATGCCGGATTGCCTTTCCTGTTGCCGGAAAGGAAAGAGGAGAGAGAGGCATTTTAATTAAGGAGAGGGGATTTTGGTATTTATTTGACCTTTTTCTTTTACGGGGGGAGGGGGTATTTGCTAGAAAAATATCATATGGGGTAAAAATTACAATAAAAAAAATTAATTGGGGAAAGTGCACCACCAAAACATCGATACGAAAGATGAATATATTAGTGTCCTTATAAAGAATTTAAAGGTTAGAAAAAAAAAATGATGTGAAGCGAACAGATATATTACCACTTGAAAATTTTGAAAATTTTAAACATAGACAGTCCATATAATATGTCACAAATATGTAATGTTAAGAAATTAAAATTTGTATATCTCTAGTTCTTGAGTCAAAATGGTCAATTAGAATCTTTTTCCAACATTAAAACAATATTTTCAGTTGAGAAGTGCACCACACTTCTACGATACAAAGTCTACCCTATTTTCAGTTGAGAAGTGCACGATATAAAGTTTACCCCAGTGTTTAAAAAACGCCGACCCGGTTCGACTCGGGAATCGCCATGGACGAATCGAATCGACGAAAAAAACGGGAATCGTGCGGTTCTAGAGAGAACCGGATGATTCTGCACAGTGACTCGCCGATTCACTGTACAGAATCGACGAGTCACGTACGGAATTTTTTTTTATTTTTTTATTTTTATTTATTATTATTATTATTTTTATTTTTATTTTGTAATCCATGATAGATTTTTTTGTAGTACTTGATCGATTTTTTTGTAATCCATGATTGAATTGTTTTTTGTTTTTTTTT